TATCCATTGATATCCAGTGAGTGACATTATTGCCAACACTGAGCTCAAAAACAAAAGAAGAGGATTTTAAAAAAAGAGGATTTTACTTCAACCTTATAAAAAAAAAAGATTAATTCAATGATCATATATTAATTGTTTTAATTATCAATTAGAAAGTAAAAACCAAACCTAATATTAAAAACTGTTTATAACATGTTTTGACTTTTTTTATCATGAATCTCTATTTATTTTTATTATAGTGTTCTTTAATACTCTTTATTTGTTTTAAAAAGTATAAAACATTTTTGACTTTTTATTTGTTTTAAAAAATATAAAACATTTTTGACTTTTTATAATACTACTTAATTGTATAAACTATGTTTAAAGTATCACATTTGAGCAATAATGAAGGTCTCTAAGTTACTGCCTTTTGTGTCCCTATCCACTATAAAAACCACATCATGAAGGGGGCAACCAACTACATCTTTCTTTTTGTTAAGAAATGACTTATAATTGGGCCAGTAGGCAGGTTAAAAGGGTACTAGTTTCAAATAACGCATTTAATCATTGATAATTGAAAAATAGGGTTATTCAAAAATGCTGGTATTTTTGGTTTATATTTGATAAATTTTAAATGTTTGCATTTTTCAGATATGAAAAATGCAAACATTTAAAATTTTGAAAGTATTGAAGTTGTCTTAAATACTTTAAAATTAAGTGAAACCTTTTAAACCATTTACAATTAAATAGTAATTAAATCAAATAGGTTTTTTTTTTGACATTCTCTTTTTTTTTTCCACAAAAAATTTACCAATAAAAAGCTCAATATACTCTTTTACTACAAATACTCGCCAATACTATTTTTAAATGTGATAAAAAAAAAATCATAGTTTTTAGACTAAAAGCGTTTTTATTGATTAAGATTGTGAAAACGTTCCTAATAAATTGTAAACTATGAATTTCTGCTGCCTTATCTTTAATAACTTAAGCAATCCTAGAATTTTTTTAAGGTTGCTTATTGTTTCTGATCAATTATGCGCGCCCCAGTAGGCACAAGATGTGTTTAGGACGTCTAAAAAGCGTATTAATACGTAATTTAAATTTTTAAACACGTTTTGTACCAACATTGTTTGCTATACCTTTATGACTATTGTTTTGTTATATCTGGATGATTATTTTTTTGCTTTATACCTTTATACCTTGACCAATGCTGATAAAGACTTAAATAAATGTTTCGACAGTTTGTTCAATATAGAGCCCCAAGGAGGATCCTTTGTAACTGATGAAGTCAGTCACAAAGGATCTGCTTTTGAATGTCTTAATTATATAAACAATATTTGGAACCATGTTTGTATTAGCAAGTTGCTGATACAAACATGGTTAATACATACAAGTTGCTGCATTAATTTCCTTTAAACTACCTCATGATATAGGCTCACGTGAATCTGGAGGGAAGTTGGACACTTAATAGCTTCTATCCAAGCAGTTTTAAAGAATATGAAAAGATCTTTATCTCTGAGACAAAATACTCTAACCAAATTTCGATTTTTTCACTTAACTGACTTTTGATTCATTCAAACAGAAACTCAAAATGTTGTATTTTTAATTAAAAATATTGTGATTTATTTTGAATTGTTTTTTTTTGTTTTTTTGTTTTGTTTTGTATACTATTTGGTTTATTATTTTATCTTGGTTTTTTAACATTTTATCTTGTTTTTAATATTTTTTTCATTAAAGTGTAATATTCTTTCACTACTGACATTATATTTTTATCAAAAATTAACTATATATTGCAAAGGGCTTCATGACACGATCCTCATGATCTTCTAGAAGTCCTGTCGTTACTAATGTTAAAACTGTAAAATATATTTGGTTATTGTAATACTTTTAAACGGTAAAATAAAATAAAGAGATGATGGACAACTCATAAGAGTATATGCAATTCCATCGGTGGGATGATTTCTTATATCAAAATTCTGTCAAGCTCGCTGATGATTTCTTAACGCAGTATCAGTAACGCTTAGAAAAAAGCTGAAAAAATCTTCGCCACCATCAATTCCTAGCTTAAAAAATAGCCACCAGAAGTTTTGTGAGATTGAATAATATGTATCACAAGACTTGATTATACATTGAATTTAGCAACTTCCCGAACTTTATCTTTTCCGTCGGTGATTTTTAAGTCACTGCAGATAATGAACTTACTTAAGTGTTTACATGCTCTTAATTTAAAATTTAATTTTAAATTAAGAGCATTTAATTTTAATTAAATTGCTCTTAATTTAATTTCAAATTTAATTTTAAATTTAATTTTAAATTAATTTAATTTTAAATTAAGAGCATTTAATTTTAATTAAATTGCTCTTAATTTAATTTAAAACTTTGGCTCTATAATCTTGCTGCATGATGTTTGGTTTACAGTTCTGACAAGTTTTATTCCGTTGTTTGACAGGCTCGTATATAATTGTACATTTTCAAGGGTTAGAGTGGTTAATTTCGGAACGCTTGATGGTGGCTGGGCACTACCTTGTCCTAAAATCAAAACATACATATTTTGTATTTGTTGTTTATGTAACTTTGTTTAGATAGTTTGTATAAAACTTTTAAACTAATACTTTTTTAAAAAAAATTAGAAACTTACCAGCAAACATTCTATAGCGGAATTTCAGTGGACCTATATAGGTATTTTGAGCGAACCACTATAGTTTTGCTCATAAGTTATTTAGTGGAAGATTAGTGGCAGCCGCCAAAAGTGGCTAGCCGATGACTAGTCACAATTAACATGTTGGAAGCGGTACAAGTACCTGGAAAAAATGCTTTTTTCTAAAGGATTGAAGCATGCCCTGTACTTGCTTCTTTCTCAATTGCGGTTTGCTCTTTAAGAGGATATTTTCATATAGCTTTGAACGACCATTACGGCAGATTAGGCAACAACACTTTATGCCTCAGTGTGTGTTTCAGTTCTTACTTGTATTGACTTGAAAGCAAACAAAAGGGAATTGTGACAATTATAAGTTTATCTAAAATTTTTTAATAAAAAAAAATGTCCCTTTTTAGGAAAAAAATAACAGGGCACCTGCCCCCTGACCCTTCCGGTGTCGTCGGCCCTGGTTTATACCTTTCAAAATGCTGGTATTTTTATACGATTTGCATAAACGAAGTCAAACCACGCTTTTAATAGAAAATCAGTGCTGTCGTAGCGCAGTAGTTATAGCTCTGACTGAAGAACCAAGAGTTCAAAAGCTCCACGTCAGCTCTAGCTCAATAAAGGACAATAAAGAAAGAGTATTAACATCCTAGTTAAATGCTCTTCCGCAGTGCTCTTCTGTAATAAAAACGAAAAAAGTTCTAGAAGCATCTGAATAACCACAAAAAAAATCATTATTTTTTTTTGGCTATAAAATAAAAATGGTAGAGGTAGCAATAAACAATTATAAAATAAATTGTTGGTACTACATACTAGAACACTCATGCAACCATTATTTAAAAAAAAAAGTGAACAAATATCCCAGTAATCGGTAACGTTTTGAGGTTTAATTAGCAAAAAACTAACAAAATTTAAACTAAAACTGACATAAATCTTTAGCCAGTTAACTATTCAGACTGATATTTTATCCAGAGCTTGGAGTGGCCATATGCTATATTTGCATCAACTTTTAACAAATTTTGTAGATTGGTTCTGATTCAACAGCTGTTTTTATTGGCGCATTATAAAGTTAAAATTTCATTCAGCTTGAACATTCAAATAAATTTTTTTTTCGGCAGACGAAATTAAAAAATATTAGCTCAGCTTGTTCCTTTCACATTTGGGCAGAGGGAGGGGGCAAAATTTTGAGTTTTTTTTTTCAGACCCCAATTATTTCAAATTTTTCCAAATCATCCTTATCTGACAAAAGTTTAAACATATAAATATTTAGAGTTTGCTCCATGTTTGAAACACAAAAAAATGCTGTATTTGGTACAGCCGGAATCAGTGTATAAAATTAACAAACTAATGTTTTATGAAAGTAGAACTTTATATTTAGATTTTTGTTTGAGACTACATGTCTGTACAGCAGACAAAAAGTTTAATGCATAATATGGAAATCATAAAGTCACTCATTATTCCAAATGGCCAACTCTCGGAAATATCTCAAGAATTTCAACCATTTCCTTGTATAATAGAAAATCATACAAGGAAATAGCTGCACGTTACTACAAATATGAATTTGTTAATAAGCTATAATAATATTTGAAACTGCTACATAAAACAACAAAGTATTTTTTATTTCAACTATTTATAAATAGTTACAAGCCAGCTGGACAAAAACATTTTCTTCAACAATTCGTTTGTTCTGTTCATATATGAATAGAACAAAGGAATTGTTGAAGAAAATGTTTTTGCCCAGTTAGCTTGTACTAGAAAAAAAAAACTATGCGACGTAATACTTTAAAACAAGGCATGAAGATTATATTACATTTTTTTAAATATTAAGTGTTGTTTCTTAAGTTGTAATAATTTTTATCACTATTAAGACTAATACAGCTAACTAAGAATCATTCAGAAGAAAAAACAACAAAAGTGTACTTAAAAGCCCAAAAGGACAGCCCACATAACATTCGATTGCTTCATTTTCTATATTTATTATATTTTTATTAACAAAAGTAAAAAAAAAAACTAACTTTTGATGTCGAGTAGGCGAATCAGGATTTTTTGTCACAGACCGTCGGAAATCCATACTTTTGGTTGGCTTTATTTTTTTAAATAGAGTTGTGAACGTTGTATTGTTCAGTTAGATCTTAGCGCATCGCGCAGATCTAATTTTACTTTTTATTAAAAATCATTTATAAAGTTCACATGTTTTAAAACTAAATTGATTTTAACAGATTTTATTGGTTGACCATGTGCAACTAATTGCTTTAACTACTACAAAACTAACAGAGGTTTTTTTTTTACATGATAAAATAAACTTTTACTGAATGATGATACTAGTAAACTATTGCAATTATTCTTACACAGATACAATTTGGAAAAAAAAACTGACCTGAATTTTGATAACAACTTACAAACAAAACACATAATATCCATATGTTCAATAACATTTTTTTGTTGCATATATCTAAAACGATAAGGAGTACTTAGCAATGCTAAAAATATAATACTGAAATAACATGAAAAACTTGTACAACAAGTTTAAAAAAAAATTTCAATTTAAATACTATCAAAAATGCAACTACTCAAATAAAATCAAAAGCCCAATTCAAAAATTGCTTCTGTGGAATAACGCTAAAAACATCAAGAAATGGAAAATATTAAATTTTTACTCAACCAGATCTTGAATAACTGGTAAAAAGTTTGAATTAAAAATATAAGCGTTATCTGTCTTTTTTATGTTGTAAATTTAACTTTCGATATCTCATTTTTTAAATGCTTCATTGCTGCTATTCTTTATAACCATAAACTATCCATTGTTTATTTTATTCATGTTTCACATTTTATAATTTTTATAACGCCCTAGAGTTCTCATGCAACGAAAAAACAAGTTTAAAAAAATATATACGAAACATAAAAACATCAGCTAACCTTTTATTTTGATAAATATTTGAAATTAAATATTTCAAAAAATTAAAGCTTTAATTCAACATAAATTTTAATTCAACATAAATTGTTTGATATCATTTATAAAGTTTTAAACATTGTTTGATAACAAATGACTCATGTGCACTAATTAATGTCAAACAATTTTAATTCGTAGTAATCCACTAAACCGAACTCTGTCCATGCTAAGTAACGCATGGACAGATGAAACATTTTTGATAATTTGCAGATCAAGCATTTTCTTTTGTATTTTTATATTACGTGATGTTGACACTGAAAGAAATGTTAAAAATTAAAAGAAATAAGATCAGATTGCTATTCTGAGTTTTCTAAAAACCAAAATAAAGAAAAATAACAATATATATATTATGCAAACATAAAAATAATTTTTGAACTAGATAGTAAGATCAATAAAAAGTTTTGACTGATAGGTAATAAAAAAGTTCTGACTGATAGGTAATAAGTCAAACCATATTCACTTTAATTATAAGTTGTAGTCATTTTAAAAACGCATTGAACTATCAAAGTTTAGATGTTAAAAATAGAACCTTATGTGAAAAATACCATTAGAAACCAGTGCCGTCAAGAGGGGATGGGGGTCCCGAGGGACAGTTTGTCCTGTGCGGCAGATATCCAAGGGGCGCCAAATGAAATGCAGATACCAAAAAAAAAAAAAAAAAGATCCTTCATATACAATATAGGGAAAATTTGATAAATAAGGGCGCCAATCAGGATTGTTGTCCCAAGCGGCATGACAGCTCTTGGCGGCCCTGTCATTAACAAAAAACATAACAATTACTCTATAAACTAGAGTTAATTAAAAGTCTCTAATAAAAATTAATGAAATATTTGTAAATACTTTTTTAATAATAATAGTGAAATGTCACGATCATGTATATGTATAGTTCAATATAAGCCAGGCTGTACTCAAAATTTATATCTTTTAAATACAATGAGCAGTATAAAAATCAATACATGAGAGTATTGCATGCAATCAATGCATGCAAGTTTGATTCAAGTGAGGTAGATTGTACAAAACTAACTTGTATACTCAAAATATTTTTGTATACTCAAAGCTTGTATACTGAAAATATTTTTGAAGCAATTTTTTTTTGCCATTCAAAGATGCAAAATTGATTATTTATACAGCCACAAATTTTAGCAGAAGACTTATGACGAAAACATCTTAGCAATTTCTGACCTATACACTACCTTCCATATGTTTGATTGCACTTTAGTATCTTGAATTTATAGATAAAAAGAACTAGTCGATACAGACAAATTAACGCTAAGATAAGTTTAATTACGCTATGTAAAAAAGAATTTTAATGTATACGCCAACGCTATCGTAGTAATACAGTGAAAATAATAATAATATAATAATAACATTAAATAGTATCAGTAAAAAAACTTGTTTAAAATAATCTCGTAGTGTTTAAAAATTGTTACTATATAAAACCTATTTAAATATACAAAACCTACCCTCAATTTAAACCACCCTCAATTTGAGGGGGTTACAAATTTTATAAGGTCAAAATTTTTGAACGCTAAGAGGTTATTTTAGAAATTTAGAATTTATCGATGAGTATAAACTTATTAAAGAATAGTACAAAAGATATTTTATCAACTTGTTGCTCTCTCATTTGGGGCAGTTTTATACCCAAGCTCTAGCAGCCGGGAGAATAAAGAAAAAAAGAAAATGGCTCTGTGAATCATTGCGCAAATCGTTATAAGCAAATAGTAACTTAGCAACGATGTTTATAAAACTTTTTAACTTGGTGGTATAGTGTCATCCCAGTGGGCATTTCGACGTCGAACGAACGTCGAGCGACGTCGGATCTCGACGTCGGATCGACGTTGGGTTTACGTTGGAAATGGAAATGTTATTTGACGTCGGATAAACTGACATCGCGCGACGTCGGCATTCCGATGTAAATCCAACGTGTTTTTTGAAAACTAAAAAACGTTGCTATATGCAGGAATCGAACCTCGATCTATTAGATACTTAATCCTACGCGCTTTCCACTACACCACAGAATCATATTACTCATGAGTTTAATTTAGTAATCTATACTTGTAGCTATTTGGGAATTATTACTTTGATAAGAAATAATTTTGTTTAAATATTATATAAATATTAAAACGAATAGTTATATATTATAAAAATGTATACTCGAAAATGTTAATAGTTAAAAAACTATGCTAGTGCATCATACAAAACCTCATGATGTTTTATCAACCATTATTCAAACTTCTTTCCATTAATAAAAAACACGCTTAGTTCACATATTTATTGAAGAGCGCAATTGCACACATATTGTTGGGTTTGGATTAAATTTTCATCAGCGATGTCTTACGACGTTGTTCCAACGTCGTTTTAAGGACGTTGGATTGACGTCGGAAGACGTCAAAAGACATCGGAGAACGTTAATATTATGACGTTGCCCGACGTCTTTTTATCGACGTTGGATCGATGTCAGTACTGCGACGTTTTTTGGACGTCTTTTATAAGATGTCGGAACAACGTCAAAATACATCGAAACGACGTCAGGGGATGTTGAGATAAAGACATCGCCCGACGTCATTTTACTGACATCGGAACAACGTCGGAATAGGTCTTTTGACATCGCTGATGAAAATCGTACGTAAATCCGACGTCGGATTGACGTCGGGTGCCCACTGGGATATTGATGATACATTCAAACAGCTCCAATTTTTTCCTTTTTTTGTTATTGTTCCTTTCCTCAAATATTCAACAAATTTATAGTTAAGATAGTTAAGATAAAAGAAAAAAACTTTTGAGAACAAGAAAAAAGTTAAAATAAAAAAAATATACAAATACTTTCTATAAAACAAAATAAATGGTAAGACTTGCAAAGACCTTCAGGTCTTGTTTTCAAAAGCCGCTCGTGAAATATCTATACATTAGTAAAAAAGTTTGCTATTTTTACCAAGGGCTTTTGAAGAGATGTATCTGAATAGTATTTGAAACGCACGAGTAGAATATGAATAGATTTAACCCATTGTTTAAAAGCAAAGATTCCCCCGCTATTAATTGTTATAAATATCAATAGAAAAACAATGGGAACCAACCGCGTCACATGGGAAAAATAGAGAATATTTGACTGACGTCATTACACATTAAATTTATTATATATTCCCATGGGAATATTTGATTACACGTATATAGCTTTTGAGTTAAGCTGTGATAGCCTAACTTAAACATTAATTATTCTAGTTAAAATTTTAAAAAAAGCAGTCCAACATAAATTGTCCATTTTTCAAATAATATAATTTTGATTGAATAATACAACAAAAATAAAAGTTTTTAAATAAAATCCTTTTTTTTTTATATATTTTTTGACTATAATGACTAAACGTCATACATGATAAATATAATCAAATTTTTCTATTGAAATATTTGATTATACGTTTATAATATATGAGTTAAGTCGAGTGAGACTAAGGTTTTCATAACTTTTAGTGAGACTAAGGTTTTCATAACTTTTTTTTTCTGAAATAACTATTAGTTATTTCAGAAAAAAAAGTCCTATATAAATCATCTAGTATATGTTAGAAAAAAACTTCTTAACAAATTTTTTATTTATTTTTTTTTCAGTTTTATTTTGAATAATAAGCCAAAAAAGGAGATTTTGAATAAAAACTTTTCTTTTTTTTTTCCTAGAATCCTAAACAACATTGAAAAAGTCGACTAAACTCTATTATCGTTAAAATAATTGAAAATATTTAAATAAACCGTTTAATTTTAAATTGAGATTTCTCTCAAACCATAAATGCTTTTTACTTCAATTTGTTTAATATTATGTATGTTTACATAAATTAGGGTTTCTCAATTTTAAGGAGCTTGACGGATTGTTTGACAAGACATTGATTTTTCTTTTTGCGAGTTGATGCAAGCATTTCGCAGATTTTTCTTTTTTTACCTTATTATTTGCATTAATACACATTATATGGAAGTCCTTTTTATTTTATGTTACTCCAGCTGTCTTACGAAGAACTCCTATAACTATTGCCCATAAATCTTCAATATTGCGCTCTTCAGAAAGATTTGGAGGATTCGCATTATTAGGAACAATTTTCACATTATTTTATTTTCGCACCATTGTATAACTTTTTTAGAATAGTGAAAAGCAGCAAGATTGGGCTAAAAGAGACATCGGTATTTGCATTTTTTCATAAATGGCAAAAGTCTTTTTTGGAGGCAGTTTTTGATGTGAACATTGAAAGTCAAGGTCTTCTTATTGATAAAACAAGAGGACTGCATGCCACAGCTGTAAACTGCTTGTCACACAAGGAACTTGGATGCAAGTTTTTCTCGTCGAATAAATTTAAATTGATAATTGGCAGGTTTATTTTTGTTCTTATAGTAAAAATGTTGATCAGGAAAATGTGAAAAATCCGCCTTGCAATATGTTTTCAATTTTATAAAAATTTTCAAAATTATTTGACATAAATATAAACACATTAATGTTTGGAGTTTATTCGATGTCTGGAAGTT